CTATGCAGTATTTCTATTATCCATGGTGTTAGTCAGTATAAAGTTCATAAAAAAAGAGACCCAAAACAGCGGTAAACTTTGAATCCTCGTTCATTCTCGTTGTATTCTTTCTGTAAGGGATTTCCTGGGACGTATTGTGCAGGGTAAACAAAATAAATAACGCTGATTACTATACTCATATTTCTACCTTACAGGGAACAAGGTGGAAGTCTGGTGGAGTTTAAAGCTGGTAACATCCAGTGTCGAAACATAAAGAACGTTGCGTCCAAATGTCTTAACTATGTCCCGGACAAAATTCAGTTTGAGTCGGCTGGAAACCCACCCGGCTCCAGCCTGGGCCCGGATCTCTATCGGTCACAGAGTTCTACTTGGCTGAAGGAATATTATTACCTTGAAGGAAGTACGAAGACCAGTAATTGGCCTACCCATGATCCTTGTGGTACCAACAGCGATAAAAACCATCTCACCAACGTGGCTAACCCCCACGGGAACATTTACATCCGGGAGTAATGTTTTGTACATGTAACTAGAATGGCATAGACAAGACAAGACAATGTTTTATTCAGTCCTATGTATATCGACTTTATCCAAATAATTTAAAATCATAACAGAAATTGCACACTAGTGGAACTATAACCAATGTTAACCTAAACAACTAATGATCTTCTTTTCTCATAGCAGTCGAATACGTATTTTGCAATTAACTTTTGCACTGGTTTGTTCTTGCTCGGAGGGTTTATTAACAACAGAAAAACATCATCTGGTGCCATTCTGTCTACTGATATTCTGTATCTTTGTTTAAATATTCAAATAAAGTACTTCTTTTTTCTTGATACACAGGGCACAGAGTTAAAAAGTGTATTTCATCTTCTACGTCTTTTTTGCAGATAGGACAGATCCTCTCTTCGGTTTCTTATAAGGTCTTACATACCGACCTGTCTCTTTCGCCAATTTGTGATTACTTAGACGGAGTGGGTTGTGAGGGACTCAACAAAGTTTTATACGGGGATGCTTTGTCCCAAGGTCCAGGCCCTTATCCTTTTATACACCGTTATTGACGGGGTACCCATATCATATTCCTTGTATTGACAGACGGTACCCCTTTCATATAACCTTGTTTAGAACTTTACATCCCTTTTAAATGCTGTAAAGGCGCTGTATTTAAAATATAAAAAGAAATCACAAAACCAGAACGTTTTCCCGACTTTTTCACAACCATAAAAAGTGCACCCGACAGCCCTTTTTATTTAGGTCATTTTACAGATCGAAATGAAAGATTTCGCTACCGTTTCATATACTTCAGTTGGTGAAATCCCTACCCTTTCATATACCTTACGCCTGAAAAAGGTACCCCTTCGGGCGGAGCCTCCCCGTAAATTCCATTATAGGGAGGGAGTACCACCTCGGGCAGCCAGTAAAGCTTTTCGACTTCAAGTATTGTAGCTTTATACATGGTATTAAACCACTTTTGTGCTTTATAATTGCTCAGATGTGTCTATTAATTTACTGGGTTTCATTGGAAGTTTTGAGAAACCATTGGGTCATAAATTGTGACCATAGCCGGTTTGCGATACTATATCAGAACTTTACAGCCTCGCCAAATAGTAAGGCACTGTGCCTGAGCTATAAGATATGAGACTTCAATAAAGTTCATCATCATCATCAATATCATTATTATTACTATTATTATTATTATTATTATTATTATTATTATTATTATCATTATTATTATTATTATAAGGAAAACAACTACGACGGCAATGTAAACGCAAAGAAAAACAGTTCTTAAGCATCAGGAATTTTCTTTTAATGCACTGCTCGTGAACTAATGAGCTGTATATTATAGTTTCGTTTCCTTTTGCTTTTATAGCTCTTCACTTTTTTAAGGCATTATATTGGTATATATTTTAGTGTTGAATGTAATCTGGTGGTTATATATTTTGCCTTTGCATTCCTATGATCCGTGATGTCACACGACTGAAATGACACAAGTGATTTCTTAACCAATCAAAAGTAAAACCAAATGTAGTAATGGCTTGCCCACTAGCTGAGTTTTTCCCGCTCTTGAATCTGGCTACCTACACACATCTATTTGCTGCAACCCTGATGGGTTAAGCGAATTGGCTGTGAGTTTTATGATTGATCAAAATTAAATTTTGATATCTTTAGAGAGACGATAAAAAAAACAAACCACACAGTTGGCTCAACTATTTAAACCCTAATACCAGAAAGCAAAATTCTCCGCACTACTGCGGGAGAATTTGTTTTGGAATGAAAACCTGTTTTACTCGCAGATAATTCCCTTTTTTTAGGTTTTACCTTGGTGTCAGAACCTGTAAACTTTTCCTTCCTTACGAACCTTTTGTTTTCCTAACTTCTGTTGTGTTGACTTCTTTTTTCCCCTTTGTTTTACGTCACTCCTGAGTTTTACAGGTTCTTACACCGACCTTTGTTCTCATAACATTTTTGTGGGATTAAGCAGTGTTATTTCTAAACTTTTTTGTTAGCAACTACTCCGCTGATTTGGCAGTAAACCACTATGTAAAATATTTCGAAAACTTAGAACAATTTGCAGCAGTTTCATATGAAGATTGGGCAGTTACCAGTTTTAATCTCTGATCTTCTCATAAGCATAGGCAACATTAAGAACAGTGGCTTCATCAAACTTTCTTCCAACGATCATCATTCCAATTGGCAAGCCATCCCTGAAGCCTGCGTTGATTGTCAGAGCTGGGTGACCTGTGACGTTGAAGGACTTTTGACTTTTGCTAAATTGAAGACAGCTGGGCGACTACTAGCCGGGGCCACTTAGACAAAGTTTACCAATTGGATTACAGGAAAATAACAATACATTCCAAGAAAGTTTGTTGTCGGCCAATCAGCAGCTCATAAAAAAAAAACAATAACTTACTCGAAGCGCAACGGCCCTCGGGATGTATATGGATTAATACCGACGTTCGAGGGGTTTATCTAACTTATTTCATGATATCATTCATGAGGTATAGGTTACATAAAGGTCGTCTTTCACAGGGCAATAATTGGCCAGTTCTTTCTGACATCTGTTTGTTTGTCATTTTTTGATCCGACCGCAGACAATGACGTATTTCATTGTAAGTATTGTAAAGGTTTTCACACAGCATCGAGAAAGGGCGTTTCACGGGTCATAATTTGTTCAAACCACTTGTTCTCACTTAGGTGAGAAACGGAGAGCAATAGCGCATTGTTTGTTTGCTAAGCCGACAAAATCAAATTTCAAACCTTTTGTGTTTTTTTATTTTTGTCTTGGTATTTTTTGGGGGACCAGCACACTTGTGAGAGCGGCAATGGATAGTGACGACGAAATTTTCCTAACGCAAAATACTCTCCCTCAGGAGCCTTTTTCCCCTGAGTTGAATTTGGAAGAGTTAGTGGGAGACTTTAGAAAACAATGTCTTCTACCTCACTCCACGACAGAAATACAAGTCTACGGATGAAGGTATGATACCTATAAATATAGATCATTTACAATTCGGGTGCAAGAGGATAAAAATGTCAGTCAGTTTTAATGGTCGCAAGCCGGAGACGGTAATTAGAAGTTTCAGTTTTGTTTCATATTTTTATTTTCACTGTTAATTTTTGCAATTTGGTTTACATCGACTCCTGTTGGACATAACAAGCTTGCGAGAGTTAACTCGGCCCAGTTCCCTCTCGTTTCTAAAGTGGCGAATTGTACACACCGACACTGACGGTACGGATATGAACAGAGCTCCAACTTCTCTCATCTTTCTAAACTGTTGAGTCCGGCAAAGTAAAGGAGCATATAAACGAATGTCACAACATTACCTTTCAGGGAAGGATTCTGTTGCGGGAAGACTGGTGCCTTCTTTGGAATGGTGAGTAGAATTAACACGTCATACTTTTCAAAGGCCTCGTCGTAAGCTTTGCATAGAACTCGGCCCAGGTTCTGCGCCTTTTCGTAGAAAACACTCTTGTAATCTTCATGCAAGTAATTTGCAATCAGCCTGACGAATTTAACGGTTTTTGACAATTCATTCGAGTGGTATTTCAGACCACGGAAAACAGCCTCTTGAAGAGTTGTATCGTAGTGCATTTCCGCTGAAGAACCAAAACCTGGATGGAAGCAAAGGGAAAGTTGAGTAGAGGTATGAATTTTTGACGAAAAGTGTTTTCAGTAATCCCCAACAAGCCTCAAAGACATTTAGCCAAGGAAAATGATCATCATCTCTTAATTTTCTAGTAAGTAAACCTCTTGAATTAGTGGCCAACAAGGTTTAATATGCAAAACAACAACATTGCACGTGTTGCCTGCGTGCAGACGTCTCCTATTTCCTTTGTTGCACGCGGTTGAACTTTTAGCGCTTTCCTATATATCTCAAAAACGGCTCGACAAAATTCTTTTTAAACCTCATCACACAATCTCGATGATGTATATATTAATGTCCGCAACTTTTATTGAGATTGATTCACTGCAGCACCTTGAAATTTTAAGACGAACCTGGCCCAGGAACCGACCAAAAATCCGCTTTACAAGATTCACTGTTTTGACGTTATGCTAATTTTTCGAAATTAATGATCACCATACATATCTTCGTGGCTAGTACATTTTAGCATGACTTTTATTGCATATTTTGAATGTAAAACATTGACAATGCTTCCTAAACTAACATAACTTAAAACTATAGAAAATATAGAAAGGAGAAATAATACGATTCTTTAATAAGCAAGACGAATATTAATTTCTGACAGAGATTTTAAGTTTTTGCCTTTACTTGAAAAACGTTTTAGCCATGATCACCGCCTAAAAGCTTATGTTGAACAGCCTCGTTCCCAAGAGAGTTCGCACTACCCGAGTGAGCAGAGGAGACTTGGACCCGGTTTTAACCTCTTTTTTGCTACGCAACCGATCTTTGCAAAAAAAAAAACACACAAGAATTTTTAGCAAGTACTTTGTAAATAAATAAAATTTCAGTTACCATCTGAATGCATTGGGATTGAAACTTCCTCGACGACTGCGCCTCATTTACTGCTCAGCTGTCCAGCAAGCTTCCTTCACCATCTTGTCCACATCCGCTTCGGAGATTTCCAAACCAAACCCTTCTTTTAAGATTCCTATCTTCAAGTTTTCTTTTTTTTTCACTGTCAGCTAACAAAGACAAATTGACAGGGTAGAAAGTTGTTGCTATATTATGACACAAAAAAGAAACACAAAAATAATGCTAGTGGTGAGCAAGAGCATGCGCAATTCTGCACAAATCATGACATCACGTCCGGTTGAAGTTGCCGTCGCCCCGAAAAGGTCTCCATTTTAAGTTTTCTTTTTTTAGGGCGACGGCAACTTCAACCGGACGTGACGTCATGATTTGTGCAATATTGCGCATGCTCTTGCTTACCACATTGCCGTCGTGCTCCCGTCGGCGACGTGAAACTGGTCTGTTTGGCGTTGTGGCGAGAACGTGAGTATTTAACTTTCATTTCAATCAGGTTTGTTACGTTTAGCAACCAGAATTTTGCAGGTTATCGTTCTTAATTGTCCTTGTTTTCTTTGAGTCACATTTCAAGCTCGATTTCCAAGCTCTGTTATCTAAACTTATATCTTTATAATGTTTCTATGTTTCATGTCACAGAGTCAAGATCCAATCTAATCCAGCATGGCAAACAGCAAACTGTTAGTGAGCTTTACATGGACAAAATGGTCCTACGGGCCAAATGAAAGTATCCAGACAAAAAGTATGAACTCCGATATTTTTATTGTGTGTTTTTAGCTCACTTTTTTCGTTAGAGTATCGTATAAGTGAAATGTATTGAAAATTGTTTAGAATAGTAGGTAATACCACGTACTAACCAATGTGACTAACGTGGGAATACTGAAATAAATTTGTTGTTGTTGTTGTTATTGTTGTTGCATGCAAGCAAATAAGCATTAATTCTCTTAATTCTTTATATGTGAAGCCATATTTTCCTCTTCGGTAGTCTTCCAAGACGCCGTCCTCCTGAGTTCACTACCATCTTAATGTTCGAATTTTGGAGGGAATTGACGGCTGCCTCTGTTCCAGGCCAGTCCGGTCGCCGTCGCCCCGAAATAAGTTCCCTAGCATTTTCATGACGGCCGAGAGAGCTATCATTTAGGTTAAAAAAGTGACTTTTTTCGAAGAATTTTGCTATTTAATCAGTTCAAGTGTTACAAAAAGTATTACTTTAATGTTTATGAGTTCCCCTAGGAGTAAATTCACGCTTTTGTAGCAAAACTGGGTAACAGATGTTTCTGTTGGTTTCCGTTCGCCATGTTGGAGCTCATCCGGATGAGCTCCATCATGGCGTCTCCTTACAAAGCTCTATAAATTTGGGTAAAACATTTCCTCGGATATCTCGTATACGAATTATTCCTTCGACCCAAATCTTGGCGAGGGTCTTTGTATATTTACCTCCTTTCATTTCCCAGATTCTGGACTTTATCTGTCGAATGGTTTTGATGTTTATTTTGATCGTTTTTGGATGGCGTGACACTGAAAAACCAGCAATATAAGCACGCGAGCGGCGAAGCCGCTTGCCGCGAGAAACGAGGGCGTAAGCCCGAGAAGAAAAAAAAGAGACTGCTGACTCTTTTGTTCTGTCTGGGGACAACGAAGCTGTCAAGGTAATTTAATTAATCAATTAAACCCCAGTAACTTGAACGATTTATAAATAGAACATAAACAACTGAAAAAATTGCACTTTCTTTAAATCCGGTAAGATTGCCTTGAATTCGTTTCCCTTGAGGAAATTTACAGCAGCTTCCTTCTGTAAGATATCCTAAAACTTTTATATTGCTGAGATTCTGCTTGGTTCGCTATTGTTTGCCGTTGGTTGTGACGTGTGACTATTTTTATTGTTTACAATCTCACCACAGACCAGTCAATGATCTGTCAACAGCTATGCAATTGACCAATCGGTTACTCCGTTTCTGGGCTGACGGAGGATTTTTTTACTACAAAAGAGTCAGCAGTCCGTCTTTTCTCGTAACGTCTCAATCTCAATCCAAGTAGTAGACGGATTTTAAGAGAAAAGGCGGACTCCAAGCAACCTAATCTGAGTTGTCTTAACCGATTCTCGAAGCTGTAAGAAGGTGGGTACGGTACGTGGGCAGTTTGAAAATTTACTTTACTGAACTTTCAGTAAAAACATCTTAGAATGCGAAATCTTTTAACGAAAACTCAAAATTTCACTAAAGAAAGCCAAAAAAGCACTGCCGTTGTTCTGTGTACCGTCGAGGTTCATGGTAATTCGATCGGATACTAGGAGCCCATAGCGAGCAACTCCCATACTAGGCCTATGTCACGGCTTTTTTACGGTGGCTATCGTTTGTTCCAAATTGCAGATTTTAACGGAAATGTTTCAATAAAAGTTTGAAGAAAATGTTATCTGTATTTCTTCAAAAGAAGAAAAGATCGATGCTCGGATTTCAATCAACAACCGTCCCACTAACAGTGGGTGGTCTGTCTGTGGTTGTACCTGGTTTTACTCTTTATTACGTTCAAAATGTGCCCGTGAACGCTAATCCTGCGGGCCGTTTTTCTCGTAATTGCAATAATAGCATCAGTTAACAAAACAAAATGGGCTGGTTATGGGGGTTAGTACCCTCGCTTTCTAAGATTTTAATTTTAAAAATGACTTTCGAAATACGGACCCCTGGTGTTCTGTCTCATTCCTTATTCACTCTTTCTGCTTTCAAACGTGGAAATTTTCTTTTAAAGAACGCTTCAAAGCGAACCAGAAATGCAAGGGTATACTCAAAAATTAGCGTGGGATTTGTTTGCATATTTGCGTGGGATTTATTTGCATATCTGCTTTCAAACGTGGAAATTCACTTTTAAAAAAACGCTTCAAAGCGGGATTTGTTTGCATATTTGCGTGGGATTTATTTGCATATCTGCTTTCAAACGTGGAAATTCACTTTTAAAAGAACGCTTCAAAGCGAATCAGGAATGCAAGGGTATACTCAAAAATTAGCGTGGGATTTGTTTGCCTATTTGCGTGGGATTTATTTGCATATCTGCTTTCAAACGTGGAAATTCACTTTTAAAAGAACGCTTCAAAGCGAACCAGGAATGCAAGGGTATACTAAAAAATTAGCGTGGGATTTGTTTGTATATTTGGGCTTTGTGTCAATTAACTTTATGGCGGCCAAACGCAATATTATTTGTTAACATGATGCTATTAAAATGGGTATAGAACCCAGGGGGGGTACTCGGGATTTCAAGTGACAGGGATGATCGAAGGATTTTTTTGGGTACGAAAATTTGGCTTGGGTAGCTTGATTTGAGTAGGGATTTTTTGGGGGGTATTAAAAAGAATCGGTAGTGCCCTGGCTGCGTAGTTCTGCGAATAAAGTACAAACAAACGTGTTTTGCTGTTGTTTAATAGTTAACTATGGTGTCGCTTTAAATCGCACGTGTTATACAATAGTCTGCAATGTCTCGTGTGCCCGG